CCTCCAAGGGCTATACCCTGTGTAGGGCTCTTGCCCTCGATCCCATTCAACACTCTTAGCAACCTAGGGAAACGCTGTGGTCCCATGTTGCAGATGAAGAAACTGAGAATCAGTGTGTGAAGGTACCCATGGCCCGGGACAGAGGGTCCTCTCCTGATCATGGCCACATTGCCCAGGAATGCCCCAACTCCCCCTGCCCCCCTGCTTCCTGCATAGATACTTCTCTCCATATCTTTGCCTCTCCAAACCCAACACAGGACTTCTCCCAAAACTCTCTCCAACCAATGTTCACACAAAACGCCATGCTCCCTACTGCTTGAAGCCACAGGGACCAACCACTTGAGCGGCCTGAGTAACTGGCCACGTTACCTAAGACCAGGAAAGAAGCTGAGGAAGGCGTCTTTCTGCTGACCTGTGTTCCGGGAGGTTTTACAAAGCTTGAGATAACACAGCCTCCAAATTCCAAGCTGTGCACAGAGCAAAAGTCATTGACACTTATTCTAGAGCTGAGTTCCGGGGCAGGTGATTCTGAAGCACGCTGATCTTCCCACCGTGTCAAAGGTGTCGCTAGCTAAGTGTCAGGTATTTCTCCAAGTCATCCTAGGCCAGGAGACCAGCTAGGAACTGAATCCTGGGTCAGTCGCATGCTTTGGCTCATCCTGGTGTGCAGGGAGTGGCATTCCCACCACCATCCTAGCCTCAGAGAGTCACAGGGGCTCAGACTGTGACTCTGGAGCTTGGCCTTCCAGCTAGAAAGGTCTATGACTCTCATAAGCCCCAGAGGTACCACCCACACGAGGTCAGCAGCAAAGTACTTGTTTTAGTGATTTTCACAATGGTAGTTTATGTTCCACAGGGCTCACACTCGAAAATCAAACTCACTGCCTTCGAGTGGATGCCAACTCAAAGTGACCTGAGAGGACAGGGTAGAATGACCCCTGTGAGTTTACAGGAATAGAAAATCCTATCTTTCTCCCATGGAGTTTCGAACTGCTGACCTTGCAGTGGTTTCGAACTGCTGACCTTGCAGTTAGCAGCCTAATTCACTATACCACTAGGGCTCCTTGTTCCACAGGACAATGAGTACAGAGGTCTAGGTGGTTTTCCTCTGAGGGAGGAGGAAAAGAACAGATGTCAAAAATCTAAAGTGCCACTTGAGCCCCATGAAAATAGCTACCATCAAAACCAGAAAACAACAAATATTGGCAAGGGTGTAGTGAAATTGGAACCCATGTGCATTGTTGGTGGGGATGCAAATGGTGCAGTCACTGTGTGGCAATCCCCCAAAAAGTTCAACTAAGCCTAATCATAGGACCCATCATAGTTATATACCAAAGGGAGGGACTTAAGAGCAGAGACTCAAAGAGATTCATTGCAGCATTAAACACAATAGCCACAAGGTAGAAACGCCTGTGTCCTTCAACAGATAAATGGCTAAACAAAATGTAGCTTAGCCATAAAGAGAAATGACATAGTATATCCATAAAGATATGATGACATAGATGAACCTTGAAAACATTATGTTAATGAAGTATGCCAGAATGCAAAAGCACAAATATTGTATGCCACCACTTCTGTGATGCATCTGCTATAGAGAAACGACTAGAGGGTAAAGCACACTGTGATCGCCAGGGGCAGGCGGAAAGGAGGATGGGGGTGTCTATTCAACGTGACTGAATGTTTGTTAAGGAGATCCTGGGCAACAGTTTAGCAGTCGGCTACAAACTCTGCTCCTACAGACCCTCAAGCTACTCCCAGGAAGAAAGCTAAGGAAGTCATCAGCTTCAGTACAGATCTACATGTGACCCCTCCCTGGGGGATGGACAACAGAAAAGTGGGTGAAGGGAGATGTCAGACAGTGTAAGA